GTGTGACTGTCAGATGTTTATTAATTAAATTGTTTATTTGCCATTTTCTTATGTGCGTGGACTGGCCTCCGAGCCAAGCCAAATCCTAATCTTTCCCTTTTCTCCTTGAATATATGAAATCAACCCTACTTAATGCCTTTTCTTACCTGTTAGGAAGTCTCATGGAACTATTGAAACACCGACTGAATGAACGCGAATCTCTTCAAATGCCTTGTTGCATTTTCTGATAATGGAAGTCGAACATTTATAAAGCCCTTTTAGGCATTTCTCTTCCACTGTGTCTACTATGCGATGTCTGCTGCGTACGTAAGCACAATTGCTTGACTAATTTTGATGGATTTACTTAAGACAGTGTAGTTGTACGACTGAAAAGCCCTGAAAGGCGAGAATTAAGGCAGCCAAAAATTGAAATCATGCGTAGGATGTAAGATTGTCCTATGATTTTGACATTTAAAATAGAATTATTTAATGGACTCTGAATGGCATCAGCTTCTACAGAATTGACTTCAACACTAAACCCCACTGTTGGAAAAGAATAGTAAAGCAACGCAATTTAAAAGAAATTGTTAAGCATTTTCTCCTAAAATGGAAAAGAGGATTGAATAAATAAGTTACCCAGTTGTAATAGCAGCTTAAGTGAATTGGTCATTTCCATCTTGAGGCAATACTAAGTGAAGTCGAAGCTCATATTCTGCTTATATTTTACCATAAAATTTATCACCTGGAAGCTAGAATTGTTTAAAATAGAGGGCATGAGAGGGCAAAAAAGAGAGATTCTAAAGATAGGGGGTCAGTCGATCTTCCAGTTCCGTATTCTCTAACACCGTCATGGAGACGATGTCTAGTCACGTAATGAAGATTTGGCGTTGGTTTTCGATTGAAGAGCTGAGCAAAGTAAAGTAGCACTTATTACCTTCACTTTCTTTTTCTTCCAAATTACGGTTAAAAAGGCACTAAATGCAGCGTAGTGTGAAATATTACACCATTGGGAACACCCTTCCCACCTGCTGCGCGACTTCTGCTAGATGGTACTACCTGATTGCATTTGATGGCACGATTTTACTGATCAAATCATCTAACCTTCTGCATTTCCTCCATAGCAAAGAGTACTGTTTAAAAGAGCACCAAAATTATTTTATAAAATGTCAGGACTCTTAAGATGGCAGCGACAGCTAACTATTTTCAGTCCAGTAGAACAGGTAACCTCATCTCTATGACTCCCAAAAGGGGAGTCGGTGATGGAACTCAAAATAGAGGCTCCCTGCGGTCACTAACTTTGGCTAAAATCCCATCCTTGCGTTCCAGAGTGATGCCAATTCGAACTACTAGACTCTATCCACCCTTTGCCATGTCTTCTAATAGGACTCGGTCAGGACATTTCCATCTCCTCGGCAACGTTTCTAAGAAGAATGAAATAAAAAAATTTAGTGACTTTGGAGTGGTACATATGTTGATTGAGCTTTACACATCTTTGATGACTGACATTGTTGATGCCTTGATCTCCTTTTGTGAATCACCAATTAGTTTGTGGTAGTCGTCGCTGTGGGTGAATCGGGAAAAGCCTAAAAAAGGGAATCAGATGAGAAAAGGAGTTATGTAGAGCCTTGTTTAACTCTGGCATTCCGATCGGCAGCATAAGAGCTAAAGCAAACTCACAAATCTTTTTACGCATTGTTTATGACCTTTTATTTATAATGCTTGATATGAAGATGATCTTTGCGAAATATCCAAAAGCTAAACCTTAACTTTAAGCAAAAAAACATACGATCTAAGGTATCGACCGTGCTGTTATATATGAGGGCCTACACTTCTGGGTTCGGAAAAAGAAAACAGATGTTGAGCAGACAAGTACCATAACCGAGAGCTGATCCTAAAGTCTCAAAATTTGTTGATTGAGACTAACGCTCTTTCCCAATCTTCCAAGCAGCTTCTGGTTCACAAAAACGCACACGTCTTAGCGAAGCAAGCATAAGAAGACGACGTGACATTTACGAGGATGAGATTAACAGACTATCTCGCCGTCATCGGCAGATCAAAATTAATGAATGCTGTTTGCCCCTCATTAATTTGGACCCTTTGACCTTTAGCACTTCAATGTTTATGTCCAATTGAATGCCTCCGTAGTTTTTTTTTAAATCAGGAAAAACAAGGGAGCTAAATACTAATGTAAAATAAGTTTAACACAACGAAGGGGGATATTCAAGGGAGATTACAGGTAAGTCTACAAAAACTTGACCACTAACGAGAAATGTTTGTGACATTGTAGTTCTCCCGAGATTCCCCTGAATTCGAAGGAGAAAATAGTAGTTTGAACATTCAATTTCTGTCATGGTCACGCTTGTTACCATACTTGAAGCATATTAAAAAACGATTGAGGCACTGCATTACTGTCCTCACCTTTTCCTTTCGGGCACCCACTGATCAGCATCCCACATGGGTCGGCACGGCTTGGTCACCCGTAAATCAACTGCCTTAGCCATTTACTTTGCATATGACGGTGATAGCTGATCTCAATGTCGCTTACTCTTGCTGGTAATTTCGCTGCATCTGGAATGTAATCCTGTCTAAGAAGTCTAGTGAGGTGAGGAGATTGTACTGCCTGTCATGCTAGCCCATTAGTGTAGTTGTGAAAATACGGACCTAAAAGGCCTCGCATCCAGTACACTCAACCACTTTACTTTTACTTCATTGCTGTTCGACAATAGCTGTATGGGTTTCCTCCATAGAAGTCTCGTTGACAGATCCTTAGCAAATGAGTGCAGCCAATGTACGGATGGAGTGGCCGATCTAACTTGTCACGGTTATCCAACATCTACTAGCTCTCTATCTTGGTAACCAGTGCGCGGACGTTTTCGCACTAACATGACAATTTTTCAGTACAGAAGCTGAAACAAAATTGGAACATTCCTTTCACAGAACACTTTTGTGTAGTGTCAAAGGCCAGCAATTCCAGAAACTCCTAGACTTCAAAAGTGATAACTACAACAATGCATTATACAAAAGGTCGTAGTATAAATGTAAATTATGCTATCTCGATGTCACCTTTTTTATTTGCCCATTCACATCGAGTTTAAATCATCAGTTTTTGGCCTCTTTGTAATTGTATCCTTTACTCAAAAATACATGTTTCTGGTCGTCTTTGAGACGTGGATGCGTACAAGCGCTCCAAGAAGGCTTAGAAGTTTTTTACGCACATCGAGGTGACATTAGCATTATTTCTAGTCTTGAGTTCAAAAGAAACGAAAAATTGGAGCTTTGTCATGAGGATCGATATCAAATCGGTGTGGAAAGAGAGCCATTAAACGGTGTGGAAAACATCGCATCTTTCCTTAAAATGCACGCCAATATTTCATCGATGCTTACCCTTTTGGTTATTCAGCTTCTGGAGGCTCCGCTATTGTTCATTCTTTCTGCAGCAAGGCCTCTGTATCATTACGGGAAGCGAAGCCGATTCTGTTAAATAACCACACTGGAATCCACTGCTGAGTACTCGATCTTAATGTGACAAGTTAACAGTGTCTCCTTGGGGTAGGGAGAAGCTGTGGCGATTTAGTAAGAGCTACGTCTGCTATTATGTCGCCTTTGACACTGGTTAGGGGCGTGAACCAGTAGGAGACGTGTACGACGAGTACCTGCATTCAGATGTCAGTCAAGTGAATGCCTGAAGGAAGCGAATAGTGGAAGATGATAGCCGCAAGACATAAATGCATGAGGCTCAGCTTAACTTCAGGGGTTGTTAGATGACAAAAAGACCAAAACCGATGACCAACTCAAGTGTCTTCTGAGTTGCTGGCAAAATAGATTAGCAAAGAGATCTCTTCTTTAACGTTATTCCTACCCTACCGACTTCGTTGTTATGGTCAGCGTAGAAGCTATGTCAAAGAAGACAAAGTACTGGCTAAGTAATTCTACTCACCCTTATTTCCACAAGCCCTTCAGGCTTCACCATTATGCCTTCGCTTTGAGTCATGGTCACAGAACCAGGTTAGTGGCCCCTCAGTCCTTCTCCACGTGTTCTTATATCCCTACCGATTGTTACGCTTTTGAATAAATTCACACTCTTATTGTAGAATTCGAAGCACTTAATAGCAGCGCTGGTCAATTTATCACCAGCCATAAATTCCTGATCGGAAACTAAATAGACTTGTTACTATACCAGAACTATTTAGGCGCTGCGATTCGCCTGACAAATACGTTAGTAGGCAAAGCTTGAGTTTTCTCGTAATAAGCCAAGGGGCATTTGCTAGGCACTTAAACCAAATTGTCTATTTACATCTGACATAATGTAACGACCAAAGCTGTGATCAGGTTTAAATGTGTAAAAAATTAGATGCAAACGACTGGTATCTGTGCTTAATTGCCGTAATTATATTGCATTAGTCACAATTCGATTTATAAGGCATTTTATTGGTCAGATGGAGGGTATTCAACTTCACTCTACCGAAGTGAGAACCAATCAGAAAGCAGAGAATTCTAACACCTAGTGTTAGCTTGGTCGTGCTCTACAAACTTGCGATGACGCAGCTACCGGTGGGGAAGTATTGGTGCTTCGCAGAAAATGCGCACCTCATTGAAGACACGTATATACTGTCACCAACTGACGATACCACTACAGAGAGACTGAGGTACACATTTCAGTATGGACTACTTATACTACCTCCTGTGTCCTCTCTCCTTGCGATCTGCAATTCAGTTGGAATTCTGCGTGACTGCATTCGTCATTACTGTTTGAATGGACCCTACCTTATTGCCTACTGCATTCTCAAACTGATTTCAGCTGCTCTTGTGTGGATCATGGCACTTCCGCGTTTCATGCAGGTCTCCTTCACTCCTGATGCTGGTCGAAGGGTGTCAGCTAAAATACCCACTCTTATAATGACCCAGCAGGCATTTCGCTTAGCTGCTACATGGCTTTTCTTTTTTCTTCTTGTGTTTCAAGTTTTAGCCTTGGCCAGACTTACCCGATCCATTGCTTCAAAGTATTCACCTACTCCACATCTCAATGCCATTCACACGAAACTCAGGTTATGCAATAGCATTACCTCAGCGTTTAAAGCGGTTACTGAAAAAACTTGCCATCTGTTCTGTGCGAGCTATTCACTCCCTACCAATCAGATGGAACAACAAGGCTTTCGTAGGACCTACGGCCACTCTATTCTCTGCATAATGTGCATTGTCGTTTTTTCAACCCTGTTAACCGCACCACAAATAGGGAACTACAGGATCGAGACTGGAGAAGCTCCTCTCGAATGGTGTGTCACTTATTTGCTTGGGTCGCCTGTATATGAGTACACGCTAGGCCTTTTAGCATTCATGTCTCCAGCTTTGTGCTTCCTCGTCCTCCTTCTTACTATGTCATGCAGACTTTTCAAAGTCGGTCAAAAACAGCATCACCATCTTCCCTGTCTTTGCCACATTCCTGCGAAGAAATTTGAAAAGTCCAATGACAGAAACAAAAAAGTTCTTATGTGGGAAAGTAAATTTATTGCACTTATTAGTCTTGTGGAGTTTGTGAGTTGGCTCCCAGTGAATGCCCAAAGTAATCTACATCGATTATCATGGGTGCGCAGAGATGAAAGAGGGACCAATGTCTGGATTTGGTGTGAAATTATCATGCTGACAGGTGACGTCTTAGTTCAGATAATCCTATTGGTCAAGATTCTACTCGAATGTGCAAGTTGCTCCCAAGAGAACAAAGTAGATCTAACTAGCGGTCATGGAGACACAAATGACTTACAAATTAGCAGACATTACACTTCAGAAGCCACGGAGTATGGCGTCAACGGTCTTATTCAGCTGTACTCATCTCAAATAGACTCTCAAAAATTGGCAAATAGGAAATCCGTGCTTCATGTAAGAATGTCACCGCCCCCCCTACCTTCTCCAGACTACGCTTACGGTGCTTTTAAAATGCCGAGTCAGGAAGGCACGGATTCACCCTCACTAAAATTTGCCTGCTTTCAACGAGATAACGTCAATAACACCACCAATACTACCGCCTCCACCACCAACTCCATTACTAGTCCCACTGCAAATACTGCTCTGCCGTTTTTTTACGCCTTTCCAGATCATGAGGACCATCATCAGTCCCAATTCACCACCACAGAAGAGTACTTTGATGCCCATGGTGTGTTAGTATCTCGTCTATAAATGGCCATATTTCCGACTTTGTTTTGCTGCAAAATAGAGCCCTTCTTACATACCCTTCTTTGTAATTCAACATTGCCTTTATATGCGCAAAGGTATTTGAACTTGTTCAAACCCGTTCCAGTCCGACTCATTGTCTAAAATTAGGTGCCCTTGAAGCGAAAATGAAACTAGGTAGTCATGAACGCCAGTGTATCCGGCTTATACATAACGTAAACCCTGCAGGCATGTTTTTCTGACAGCGTAGTGTGCAAATTAAATCTAAAATTGGGTTATGCACTTTTAGACTTTCTAATATCGCTTGTAAAAGGGTGCGGATGAATTCATAACTGACAAGCCGACCTAATAATGCGTTCCAAATTCGCCAAGAGGAGCCTGTGCTTAATCTCATCAGATGGGATGCCTTATTTTTGGACAACTTTTGAAGTTATTAACGTTTAAGAGTTCTCAACAGGATGGCGATAAAGACGTGAGCTCCGCTGTAAAGGTGGCTGGATTAAAGCGATCAAAAACGCTTGAAGTTAAGGAAAATTTCTGTTCTACACAGAGTTGAGTAGTGCTATTCAACGTTTCACATTGCAAATGTAGAACAGGCTGGGAATTGCGCAACCGCAGATGATTTATTGATGGACTGGCGCCAGCTAGCTTGGGTATTTGTGGCTCCCCTTCGTGCATGCATTTCACCGACAAAGTGAAAGCGCTGACTCTTGAAGCCTCACATACTTCAGCATGGTGGAGTCAAGATCAAATAAAATACTGTCGTGCCCTAGTTTACCTCTCCGTTGGCCATAACGCTACATTCAACCTGCTCAGATGCGCATGAGAAGCACGCCAATCAGACTGGAGCTCTCAGCATTTTATCGCCAAAAATACCACTTAAACACAGTTTGTATTATCTCGGCAGTTGAAAGTTAGTATATGCTCTCACTCCTTTGAAGCCTTATATAGTTAACAAAACCTTGTATTCGGGGCTTTAAAGTCCAAAAGCTGTTCCATAAAGTCGTACAAAATATATTCTCTTTAGCTCTTCAATGGAGTCTTGTAAAACCATAGAATTGGTGCACCTAAGTTCATAAGAATTATTATAATTTTGCTGTCTGAAAATTGTCCTCTGACTGATACCATCACTGGCCTACTAATGCAGAAGAGCTCCAAGCCATATTATGTTCGCTGAGGTTAAAAATCTAGGAAACCTTACCACCGTTCCCTGGTCCCTCCACCATTATTACCTGCCACTTCGACGGTGGGACAATCCGACGATGTGCGTTAGCCATTAGCATATGCTACTTAACACTGCGTGCAGCACCGCCATAGCAACGGCTTTATTTGTGGTTGTCCATCGAAGGGTTCCAGCCCGACCCAAACTAACTGTTTCTCCTTTGCACTGTCTAAAATTTTGCTAACGCGAAATCAAATACTCCCATCTACCTAGAGTAGAAGGACGCAATGAAACTTTGCTCCCTGAGCATACCATGCTTTTGTTCAAAATGTGGCCAGGAGTTGAAACCACCGTTACGTAGTCTTTTATTCACATCTTCAAGTAATATGACTGACTCACACATGAACCGCATACGTGGGGCATTTATTTCACGCATTCGGTCTTCCCTACGTCCAAGACGCAAAAGTTGTTAAAGCTCCACTGATCATTTATACCCCCATTCGACTCAACTGCAGTGAAGCCTTTGGGCAGGAAATAAAAAACAACAGCATGCGACTTCCCTAAGTAGGGATTGGCATATTGTCATAACAACGACGAATGGGATTTGATGACTAAGGCCACAATTATCCGGGCCCTATTGACTCATGCGTACCTCGTCAGCTGCTTGCCTTATTTAGGTAAAACAGAGTGCTCTCTCCTGCCCTCACCCCTTAAATGGTGGACCACTGCAACAGCCATCATTTCATTCATTCTGGGCGTCGACTGTACCCGCTATCTGGTTACTCATGGTCTGGGGTCCATTTGTCCCTTTAAAACACTTCATTATGATTTGCTAGTAGGAGGAACTCGATGGCAATCAAAAGTGATTTTAACGCCTAATGACACATAATCTTTAAAGTAAATGTCTCAAAGGCTGTGAACTTTCATTTTGTGCCGAGCAAAATAGTGCCAGAAAAGCTAAAAGGAGTGAAACTGTAAATTATAGTTAGTGGGGTGGACATTTTATTAACTAATGCTGTCTACAACATCACTGAACTTCGTGAAACAATTAGCTCGGCGTTGCCCTATCCTTTCAACTGTCACGCCAACAAGTCGAACTCATTGCTTCTATCAATCCACTTACAAGCATCTTCATATTAAGTGGACAAAATTAGTTGCTTTCCAACGTATCGGGGAGAAGGGGAAAATTAAACAAAAGTAGCCGACCAGAATCTATTCGATGCAAACCAAATGGGATTAACCACATAGCGCCTAAAACTCCCTTTTATACTTATCAAATAGTGAAAAATTTGTGCTTACAAATATATTAACACCATGGACCACATAAAAAGGTAATTAGGCAACCAAACGGTCGAACTTTGATCTAACAGAAGAATGGTTTGCTATTTTCTCTGTGCAGCACGCAGATCTGCATTCTCCTTCCTGTTTACTATCTTTTGGTTAGATTAAGAACTCGACAATAGACTATCCCGAGACCACAAGCATGCACAGATGTCATGAAAATTTATTACCAAAACATTAATACGAAGGAATCAAGGTTTAGTGCATTCTTACATTCCTCCATCCGGTATCGAACTTTTTATGAAAACATTTTGGGCTAATGGAATAGTTGGAGCGGTGTCGCTGCAGCTCCCACCAACGACTAATAGCAAGTTTATGCAGCTGCGAAGTGCTCTGGAGCCAAGGTAAAGAAGACGGCGCGCCACCCTGAACCTCGTACTCTTCCTTCTCATTACTTGAAACCAACAAATGTCAGTTTACGTCTGTGGATGATATCTGGGTTCGGTCGACTTTCAGGACACTTTTTGGTCATGCTTCGGACAATGGAGAAGAAAGCAAGTACGGCTGCATCTTCTGGGATAAGTAGCTGAGACGAAACAATTAGCTACTCCATCGGGAGGATGGGAAGAAGATATTGCCGAATCCTCATCCCCTCTATCACCCCGAGGACATTTTCCGTAAAGTGATGAAAGCAATAAATTCATTTGAGTTAAAGTAATGTGCGAAATGCATTAAAGCAGTCTAAGTTGCTGGAGCCGTGGCACTTGCTTATGGGAACACAGTGAATATTACTGGAATTCGCAGTCCTGCGTCCCTCTGAAAAAGGGTGAAAAATTATACTGTAGACTCCCATTTGGGAAAATTTCCATTTTTTACACCTTCTTTATTTTTACTGTGAGCAATCTCACAAGCTTCTTTGATCTCTCACATCGAGAAGGCATAAAGTCAAGTGGAACATAGAATTTAAGGCAAAAAATGTTTGGCGACTAAACAAATTAGTTTCAATTTCTCTACAATCCTAAATCCCATTATGGTGACCAAAGCGAGGGAAGAATTGAGATTTTGTGATAGGATTGTAAACATGAAACGCTGCCAAGTAGAGACTTGCGGAATTTAATGGCAGGCCAAGTTGTGAAATGCTCTATCCATTAGCTGCTCCAACAGGAGACCGACATTTGCCTACCACGAGGATTGGTTGAGCAGAATCACCTGTCCATGTGAGGGTAAAAAAGGGTAGCTGCATTATTACCCCCAAAGGAAGGCCATTTTTTGTCTACCTAATGCAATGTTATTTTACTGCACCCGCATTTTTAGATGGATTCTGATCTGCAACAAAGAGGTGTAAGCGTCGGTAGAAAGTCACAATTGCATGCGGAGCCTTAGCGGCACAGCGGGAATAGAAAGGAATAGCTCTCAGAAGGAGGCATTGAAACTTTTTTTGAAGGGAAGACACTTTAATAGATTATTAACTTATCACATAAAATTCACATTCAGATCCATGCGATGGAAAGGGCTGAAGTTGAGACAAATTTTATAATTGCATTTGTTCTGTAAATGACGCACTTATTCAGGAGGATTGTTGCAGATCCGGGGTTACTTGGAATAGACAATCTCTTCCATCCTGTATGGCGCATCGAAGTTGTTGCCACTTAGTAACTTCAATCTTTGATAACCAAAGGTAATGCTGAATAGGCTAGATTTTGTGAGGATATCAATAAATAATTTACAAAACAGACTCATCTGAAAGCCTAATTAATGAAAAGCTTCGTGACTGAGAAGCCGCTGCCGACGTAACAGCGAGGTAGATCTCTGAATTCTCAGGGTCTTCGACCTCCATTGCCCTACCAAATCGACTGACCAGCTTCGAGGATGTAAAGATAGGTGAAAGGCGAGAAACCAAAACCTGTATTATTATTCCACTAAGATGAATGACGAATGGATAGAAGAGTTGAAAATTCTGTCTTGATTAGGGTGCCATAGTAGAAATTAGAAGTATAACCATTCGCGTTTAAGGTGTCGAGGAAGATTCGCCAGATGACATCTGTACTGCCAACAGAGTTTGCTTTCAAGTGAGACGATGCTTGATCTCAACGTCGCCCATGTCGTTTGGGAATTCGGCAGCATCTCCAATGCTGTTCTGTTGGGAAGAGGTGCTGACTCACTTGCAATTACAGCCAGTCGTACGAAAGTCAACCCATAGACAGGGACATTTAACTAAGGATGGAACCTGCAACAGTTTGGCAGGGATTAGATTTTTGTGTGAATCCCTCCTCACCACTTTTTGCCATCCTATTTGTGTCCATCCAAGTCCACAGTAGTTCAACTTACATGGTAAAAAAGGTAGAAGTGATGTCCAGTGTTCACTTCGTTGACATCGTATTGCGTTCATCACAGACATCCTCATAACAAAACCTCTTTATGGTTAACAATTGCTATTGCCTTGTTTGGTATTAGCATCCCTTCAGGACACAAGATGTTATTTTTAATCCTATTGGTAGGGTTCGTCAATGATTCTATTAAATATGTGTCACTCCATAGTTTATCAATTAGCAGGACTTAGTTT